GTAATTAAGTAGTGTTCAATATTCATTAGTGTTCTAACTCAAAGCCGTGTCGTATTCCAATACAGCTCACACAGCAAATGGAATTCGAACACTTGGATGACAGCATTACGTATCAGTAGAATTTGAAGCGCGGATGGAATATTCCTCACCACGTGCCAAATATAGCCACACACAGTGATGGAATATAGGTATTTGGTAGGTTTGCATTCTAAAGGCTTTTAAATAAATATGGCAACATTTTGTGACGTTTCGTCGTTGCTGACGCGTAGTGCGGTGTTTTGAAAGTCACATAAAGCAAACAGAACTTGAGTAACGCAGACGGTTATTTTTTCATAGTTTTTCATTTCTCGATGCATCCTTAATGTGACGGAATATACCACGTTTACCCTATTGTGAGCCTTTCAAAGTTTTAATAATGGAGAAATCACAAGGTTCACAGAATCTAAAGGTTTGAATGCTAAATTTTTTACTTTCAAGTATACTCTATTGACTATTGAGTCTATTCTAGTCAGTCAACTGTGAGGTGTCATGTTTGTAGTGCATTGCCTTTTCTTCGAGAAGTTTCTCCAACTGCCAATGAGTTTCTCCTCAATTTGAAAGCTGAGGTAACGAATAGGTGCCATATATAGTCAGATGGGGTAAGACAGGACCGAAATCACTAACAAGCCAGTAGCATCTATATCATGAATAACTAAAAAGCCCCAAACCTATCACAAGGTGTAGTTATGCAATGGGCTTCTAAGCTACAACTCAGATGTTTTGCATCTAACATAGTTTTCTGTACAGATTAAAAAGAGTGAGCTGGTCCCATCTTACCCCACTGGGGTAAGATGGGACCAGGCATGGGGTAAGACAGGACCAACTGGCAATTCTTATGTTACAAGGTTTCTAATAAAAGTACAAATCTGATATTCAATATTATCCATCTAGAAACGCATTATTTGATTAATTAACCACTTGTTACTGTTTTGTGTTGCCGGAAGTCAACTCTCATATCAGTCACATTGAAGTTTTTGTCATGAGAAAACTTTGTTAAGCATAGTAATAGTGGGTTGGCTTTGGTTCATTGTAGAGCACTGCTAAATGCTTCATGTATATTCCATTAGTGTAATTGTCTGAAAAATTTATCAAATTGGTAATAAAACCAATGGATAATAACTGAAGTATCAGACATCATGTGTTTTCTTGCTAACTGCATTTGTGGTGCACTTCTTCAAACATAGCTCATGCCCTCTCACAGAGTTGTGATCATGCTTATTTTTACACGTTTTTCTTAGTTTAGCTTCGCGTTTGTTTGTTTGTTTGTTTGTTTGTTTGTTGTTAACATTGACAACAAAAATTAGCCCACTTCTGATTGTTCTAGAGATCTGAAATTCGGCATGCAGACTATTTTCGCCTAACAATTTCAGATACATGTACTACACAATAATATATTCATTTAAAAACTATTTTTGATAAACTGTAGGGTAATAGAGGACCATTTGTAGGGTAAGACAGGACCATTTGTGGGGTAAGATAGGACCACTTGTGTGGTAAATCAGGATCATTTAGTGGTCCTGTCTTACCCCATGTACGGTCCTTTTTTACCCCATTTTAGAATACTCGTCAAGCAGTGATGGTAGCAGGTAGGAATGCCCAGTATGTCTAAAAAGTTGCCTATTACTTGAGGTTACCTGCCTACATCCACAAACCTGGCCAAAAAATATTTTGTCATTAGATAGAGCTTATTTCCCAAACAGGGTTAACTATTTTGTGACCCTTCTTTACATAGGTTTTCTTTAAAAAGTAGCCAGAAATTCATTATTTGCAGAAGAGGGTTGCCACAAACACTGAAATGACAGGCAATGATTGCTCTAACATATTCTATTGTCAAATTGAATTCAGTGCAATTACAATGCCCGCCATGGGCTGGTCCTTTCTTACCCCATGAAGGCTGTGATCCTGTCTTACCCCATTTGACTATAAATGTTTTTTTATATTTAATTTGAAACTATTATGTTGGGAGTAAATAGTATTTCCTTCTGTAGATCCATCCCTCTTGCTCATCTGTGAGTGACGCGCAGTTGCGCGCAATTAACAATCTTGCATGGGACCTTCTCTGTGTTGCCTGACTTGACATTCATACGATCATAGCTACCGTAGCCAAAGCCGATTTCTGACGGCCTGCAAACCTGTTTCTAGTTGCCTGGAACATTTTTTCTAAGGCGGAATGCTTTTTTTATGTGAACCACAAATTTTAGAATTCCAGCCTGAAGTCTAATAGATAGTAAAAATGTTGAAGTTTATGCCACTATTTTTAGTTTTGCAATATTTTGATTAGGTAGTTTAGCTGCTACAACATTTCTACAAAATGTGGGATGCGCATCCCGATTTACCCCGCCTGTCTCTTTTTACCCTGTTTGACAGTACTTTTATTTTAAAAAAATTCAAATTTCTTATTAGTTAACTATTGTTGATGTTATTAGCTTATGCTGGATTTTGTTAACTTAAATTTAATATAATAGATAAAATTTGTTTATTTATTGCAAAATCTCATGATTAATAATCCTAGTGACAAACCAGAGATTTTTTAGAATCAGTTCATTTTTAATTTCCTCATTTACTCAAGACTTTAACCCATGGTCAGGAAGATGTACCAGGTGCACGGGAATTTATTTTGTCATTTTAACGACCTGCGCAGTGCGCCGTACTATGCTGGTAAAAAAATGCGCCGTGCGCCGTACTTTAGAAAGCTGAAATAGTTCTACTATTTTAGTCGACAATATACGCGAGTATATTGACTACGCGAGTTGAACTGACAATAATAAAATGTAAGACATGTCCGGGTTACTTCTGACTCTTCCGCTTGTCCGCCTTGTCGGATACGGAACGTACGGTAATCGTTAACTGCGGCTGTTATTATGTGTTATACATACGAAATGCAAACGAACGGTGTTCAGTGTTGCCATATGACTTTGGAGAAAATTTCTTCTAAAATAAAGTTCTAGATTTCTCATTTACCAAATTTCCGTATCGAGAAAAATCCTATATTATTGAAAGATAATTAAAGGCATACTGTACTGAGTATTACGTCTGTTCCTCCACAAACTGCTCGTGCGCGACAGCGTGACGTAGAATTGATGGCCGGGATTGCGCGAACACGTGCGCAAAGATAATCAATTTTCATTACATTGCGCCAACTGTGCACAGCAATAGCTTAAAAAAAGTGAAAATGCACGGGAAAATTCACCGAAAACATACATCATCCTGAGCCACTGTGCAGAGAGTAGATGAATATTGCAAGATCTTTGGCGACGCTTCAGTAGCCAAATTTTTGCCTTCAGAAGATCTTGCCGACACATTTAGATTGAAATTCTTGCATTTGATATATTTCTCAGTCTTAGGCCAACTATTTAGAAAAAAGTAAGGTTTCCGGTACGTTGGATGGATTACGATGCAGCGAAGCTTGTCTGGAAATCAGTTGCGATGAGTTCCCGCAAAAAATGTAAACGTTTTTTCGATTGCGTAGTTTCGGTCACATTAGAGCGGTCAGACTGCTTTATTACATGTTCAGTTGACACTTGCTGTACAATCGGACTGTTTTTAGGGTAAAATTAGTTATGCGGGGTAACACCGCTAACACGTGCATGCAACCTTGTAAATAAGTTCGTGGCTTGTACCTAAATAGTTCATCATTACTCAGCGTAAATGACTTTTCATTAAAAATTACCTGGCGACGCATCTTTAAAATGGCCGGCGACGCTTTAGGCTTAAAAATCCATATCTTGGCAACGCTGCATCCACCCTCTGCATAGTGGATCCTGAGTGTGGACTTTAACCAATTTCTTATGTATGATAATGCTGGTATCCATGATACTTAACTGGTCTACTAATAAGAATCAAAAATGAACTTGAGGGAGAGTCTAAAAAACTCTCTGCAGTCTGCTTTGCCACTATGAATTCTCATAATACTAGGCTAACTCCTGGCTAAGGCATACTATTCCTTTTACCTTTTGGCTTTATCATTTATGCTATAGAATTGTACTCTTGCAATTTGCAAAGAGGAATTAGGTATAACTGGCCTTTGGGCTTGGGGAAATGTATGACCATTCATTTTCTGGAATTCGACCACGGGCTTTACTACTAAATAAAATTAATTCAGCCTTTCAGAATTCAGGGTTCAGCCGTTCAGGCAACATGAGAATTATTTGCATGTACCTAAAATTGCATTCTAGTGGAAATATATAAACTAATCGACTGACCTGCACAAGCCTTTAAATTTAACGCCTTGGTCACTCATTATTTAACCTTGTTCGTATCAAGATTAAATGTTTATAATTCAATAGAATAAAGCAAGATTATATCGACAGTTCAAACTTCAAAGCCGGCAGGTAGCTCGCTGACTGAACCGGTTCTTGATAAACACCAAACTCTTCCGCTTCCACGGAAAAAGAAATTTTTATATTTTGCTCTAAAATATCGCAAATGTGTAGTGGACTCGTTATTGATTTTTTATCGATATTCGTGGTATGGATGCAATTGATTTTTATAAATACGAAATAGCAATGAAATCCCTAATAAAATGAGAAAATGCAATGAACTCCACAATCCTGAACACAAAAACCCAATCTTCAAAATATGACAAAATTCGTTGAATTCAAGGTTAATGTAATGCATGACTGATAGCGGAAGATTTTTTAAATAATCACTATTGATCAAGTGGTCGTGGATGACCAGTGGGTAGATTAGGAGAGAGAAAAACCGTGAGATATCAAAATAAGACGGGTAAATAAACTTGGCGAGGGACCACGGCATAACGGAAAAAAATAGATCCTAAATAGTTTTCGATTAAATGTGACATGAACTTTAGTCCTAGCAGGCCCATTTAAGGAGTACTGAAATGCAACTAGCACTAGGCGCCCTAGACACCGAACCACAGCAGCTCCACCGAAATTTTTTGCTGTCAAATAGCTCCATTTTGATTTTATCGATTATACTTTCCTTTATCGTGTTATGCTTACCTTACGTACTCATAAAGTTCAATGAGCTTTTTCATATTGTAGATAACGTTTCAAGCCGTTGTTTGGGACTGCACCATCTCAATATATGGATGCTATTTTTGTTCAGTGTTTTCTTTCAGTTCTGGCACCACGCCCTACCTTGAGCGTTGCTGAGGGCAGACTGAAGCAAATGATAGCGGCGCGCTGCCCTCACTGCTATCATTGCTATGGTGAGGGAGACAACACAGAGTACTTCATCACATCACCCATACCTCGCCAGCTGAGAATAAACTTCTAAGTTCTAACCACCCATAGGAGAAAAAAGCTGGTTCGGCAGGAGCGGCTCACTTTCTGTGTGCCTACAGCCAGCGAAGCGGACGCTAAACTTATACTCTCCACTTTTGATATGCTGCTGCTGTATAATCACGTACAGGGGGGTTTGAGGTCAAAGTTTTCACTCGAGCCGTTTTTCCCAGGAGCTCAAACGTTAGAATCTCATGAAAATTGGCACAGAGACGTACGCATATTTTTTCTACCAAACCTTCTTGTCGGATTTCCGAAATTCCCACTCCTTCCCCCCCAAAATCCCCAAAAAAGGGGAAAATTTGGTCAAAAAATTACCTAAAATGAGATTTTTGAAACGATCATAGCTCGAAAAGTTGCAAACTCAGAGCAATGCGATTCATTTCAAACGAAAGGTAAAGGATTGGAATGTGTTTGGGATTTCGAACGTTTTTCTGTCGGGTCAAAACTTCATCCCTAAATTGGGGGTCAAAGTTGACCCTGAAAAAANTTAGGACAGGTTAGGATATGTCAGGCTGTGTTCAGTTCGGTTAGGTTATGTTAGGGTTTTTTGGCTAGGTAAAACTAATGTAAGATTGTTTTAAACACTAATGATACACACAGGAAAAGGCCACAATTGGGGGATTGCTGTGTGTAGTAGGAAATGTGTGGCAAAAAGAAGAAGAAGAGAGAAAAAGAAAAAAAAAATAAAAAAAGTATAGCGGCTGATCTGGTTCTATCGTGATATTATAACCGCGATCATATTAATGTTTACTCGCATGAGAGGATGATTATAATATTTTGTACGCAACATATTCCTCGTCGCGTCATTTAGTACAGAATAGTCTTTTTTTTATTTAGCACAGATAATTTATGGGTAGAATAGTCTCGAAAATGCATTATTAAAGTTAATAATGCATGACTGATTTCTACGGCCAGTAATATGATGTTTCCATTATCTCATCTCAATATCATCGACGCATAAAATATATTGATTTTTTCGTCCCGCAGATTATTTGTGCTGAATCACGCGCATGGAACTGCACCGGTCTAATCGAACGCAGCTTTGTCCTCAGGCCTTTACTCGGCCTCGCCTTGCTTTCCTCTCCTCCATAACTTAATTTAAATGAATGTGTGGCAGCTAGCTGTTACTTAGGCATGAATGTCTTCTCAGGGTTACCAAGCTCAAAATTCTAATTTAAAATACAATGGAATTTTTTATTTCATTTGAATTACTTGATACTTTTCCAGGTACAATGCATTTCGAGGATTTGGTCTGGACTGCTTCCCAATTGTGGTCTCTATATAAACCATCACTAGTCGACGGTCTCTTTTGAATATATATAATGTTTCCCTCTATATAAAATTGGCCAGGAGCGAAGGAAGATTATTTTATATATATGATTATTAATTGAAAAACTGTAAATACTAAAGCGACTGTTGATTAAGAATAAGAGGACAAGGAACCAAGCTTGCGATGAACTGCAATAGCCCTAGCCTAAGGACCACGTTCGAGCAAGTGAACATTCTACAATAAAACAAAAACCTCGATAATTATTTTTAAGGATAGCTATTCATACACGAGAAGAATATATTATCCCAGATAAAAAATAATTGAGCAGTTTTACAGGCAGGAGATCAATTTCCTGATACGCTTAAATCACACCGTCTCCTATGAGCTGCTAAGTATTTATTAAGAAGAAGTTTTAAGAAATAAATTTCCAGATTTATCATGATCGACAAAAATATAATTCAGCTAAAATGTATTGGTTTCAATTTATAACCTAAATCGGTCACATTGAAGCCATGCTTGTGGTATGAGGTTAACCGTACAACGGAATTGATTCAAAATCAATGAAAATTTGCTGATAAATGGCAATGTTATGATGAAAGTACGGCCAATTTCAACACCATATACTTATAGTGATGTGGTGGAGGTTGCTTGATAGACTTGACCTTCTGCCTGGTGTCGGTAACTTAGGCCTGATGGTCACAAGTTGCTGGTGGTCACAAGTTGCTGATGGTCACAAGTTGCTGGAGGTCACAAGTTGCTGGAGGTCACAAGTTGCTGGCGGTCACAAGTTGCTGGTGGTCACAAGTTGCTGGAGGTCACAGGTTGCTGATGGTCACAAGTTGCTGATGGTCACAAGTTGCTGGAGGTCACAGGTTGCTGATGGTCACAAGTTGCTGGTGGTCACAAGTTGCTGGTGGTCACAAGTTGCTGGTGGTCACAAGTTGCTGGTGGTCACAAGTTGCTGGTGGTCACAAGAATCGTCAGCACCACGATGATCGTCAGCACCACGATGATCGTCAGCACCACGATGATCGTCAGCGCCACGATGATCGTCAGCACGACGATGATCGTCAGCACCACGATGATCGTCAGCACCACGATGATCGTCAGCACCACGATGATCGTCAGCACCACGATGATCGTCATCATTACATCTCATTCCACTTATTCGGTACAGTAAAGATGCTTAATGTTGGTAAAATTAAGGTGATCCTCGTGAAATGGGATTAATTCAAGTACTTTCAAACTCATTTTTCAGTCCAAAAATTCTTCAGGGCACATCATACGATCATTTTACGGAGAATTTAAAACACATAAAATAAGACAGTATTATATTTTAATTATTTATTTTTTATTTATTTTTTTATGAATAGGCGGTAGATTCTTATACCGGCTTGCTTCACGATCAATTTTTTAATAATAATGACATGGCATAGTATTAACGTGATGTAAATATTATTGGGTCATCCGTATTGACTAAGAGTTGAATTATGCACCACAATACCGAGTTCTTGCAAGTCTTGACAAAAATGTTCGACTTACGTCGATTAGACAGGTTCCAAAATTAATCAGGTCTCTGTCAGAACTACGTTAAATGACCATCATTGACTATGCCTTCTATCCACTCTTTGAAGGGATGGACAGCCGTGTATATGATTATTGACGGTTCGCAGTCCCATATATCCACGGACGAGGACACAACTCCGGACACGGCCCATCTCTCGTCCGTGTCCGGTCCCAAGTTCTGCATGAACGGCCCTCCTGACGACCCGCCCACGAGGGTCCGACCCGCAGAAGACGACACGTGCACGTCGTTTTCTACACAAAAAAAATAGCACCAGGTAACAATAACTGCCGCTGGGAAGAATATACTGCGCGATAGTCAACATGAGTTGTGCAAATAAATTTCTATATCTCTTCTATTATTTAATCATCAATAGATTGCATGTGTGGAATTTGCCCGGTAACAAAATGAGTAAAAAGAAGATTCAGTCAAATTACTGAGTACCTTAAGTGAGAAAACTAACAACTAACCCTGGAGGTGAAACTTATGAAATTTCTCAACTAAATTTGCTTCAAACAACACAAGCAGCTGAATAGTACCGGGTGGTGGTTGACAAACGATATGGACGTATCGTATTCTCTGATATCATCCCATCTCTGCAGTATACATTTAACAACCGCTGCGACAGTGTGTATTGCCATCACGATATACTGGCTAAAACCTCTTAGAGCACTTGTCAACGCACTCTTCTAGTGTATATTTTATTGCCTTATTTAGCCTCATGCTATGTTTTGGCAAGGACCTTTAAAACTCCACGGAATTAACATTTTTTTTAAGAAAAATAACGATACGCACTATTTAATCATTAACATGAAATTTAAATAATGAATTTTTTATAGATATTATCTGTTGGATGACAATCTGACCGTTTTCAAAGTTTAATTTATATCACGATGCAAAATAATTTTGCTAATATACACATCTTGCAAACGGGAGCTAATTCGAATAGCCATATATGTAGAAAGTCCGTCCACGCGCTTATATAAACGGCTGGCGCATAACGTGCGTTTACACGAGGCCTGTTGTGGCCGCCACACTAATCGCTTAGAACTCGTAATTGCGTTCAAAGCGCAATCTCAACGGTACGATCCCTTTCCATGCTGGCATGGAAGGGATATTCAAAGCTTTGCCAATGAGGCTGTGAAACGAGAATTCTATTTTAAGCTTCACTCGCCTTTAAGCTTCACGTACCTGATTGTCCGTCTACAGAAACCATTATAGCAGCAAGAAGTAAGCAAAAGCGTCGTGTGTCAATTTGCCCAAATGAGGGCAAATTTTCGTTAGTTACGTTCTACTGTCACTAAGCTTAAGTGCGCTGGAGGCTGAAGGCGATAGAGTACGCGGCGGCAAAACAGTGAGGCCAGGGGCTGCAGCGTTGAGAAAAGCAACCAAGCTTTTTGGTGTGCGTCTGCGTCTGTGTGTGCAATAAAAAAAAACACAGTCGGGCCATATTTTTAGGCCATGGTAAATAAACTCTTGAGAGACTCTCACCTAGAGCGCCTAGAGCGATGCCACAGAATTGCGTGTCCTCGATGCGCAGAGTCCGGCACCCGGAGGCTGGGCTGTGGCAGGCCGGGTCCAGCTGCTGAAGAACCATCTTGTACTCGTATAGGTTCTTTCCATTAGCGCGGCTGAACGCCTGCCAGTCAAGGCTCATCTTGAGTTAAACCTTCACAAATCGGGCGTGTCAATTTAGGTCAGCTCTCATTTATCCCCAATACCACAACATACCTTTTCCAAAACCACAATATCCTAACTGCAAAAAGTTATGAATAATCAGAATAGAGCACTGAAATTCATTACAAACACACACTGTTCCGACTTCATATACTATCAACACTACACGAACAATGCAACATTCCCGCAATAAACACAGTCCTCGATCAACATGCAAGTAATACCTGCGGTTATTCTACAGCTCCAAAATACTCGCAAGAGGTCCCCCACCTCCACCTCTGTACAAATAACTACACAGCCGACCATGCTGCACCCGGACGGATTTGTTCTAATCACGTTTGGGTTTAGCTGGTCCCAAAACAACACACATCGTCATAGACACCGTCGCACTGACGGACTGACGTGACTCGCCGAGGGTGACGTACAGGAAAGACGTGACCGAAAACCAAGGACGAAACCAACCAACCCTCTACATCCCACCGAGTCTCGAGCGATTAACCCACCGCCTTCATCTCCATCATCATCAATCATCATCAACTTCATCACCCGATGATGATATTGTACACTTTTCATCATACCCATTAAGAAAGTAAAAATATATAATAATAAAAAAACGAGAACGCATGTATATCTTTAAATAGAGAACCACCACCGTCCCATTCCCATCGCCCACCTTCGTGAACCATGAAAAAGCCCCGACGGGTTTTCAACCCCTTCCCCAACCCCAGACAACCCCAACCACCTTTAACCGACCAAATCATGCGCAATGCGTCTACTGTCTTTTCCATTTCTCCTTCCTCTTTCTGGCCACTCTGCGCCACCTCTTGTGCTCTTCCACTCTTTCCTAGTGGCACCGCAGCAAAAACAAAGTCAATTTAGGGCTTCCCGTGGCTATTATCTTTGGTTAATTAATTGGCGCCTATATGACCCCTCGTGGCAACGTGATTCACATTGTTCAGTGCTTGAGCTCAATCACTGATCTCTGGATTAGCTGTACCTTACCGTAAGTGCGTGTCACCAGGAATTAGTGACTTCAATCATTTTGTGCTTGCATTTCTACTATTCTATTGATGTTTGACCGCATCATCACCAAATGCTTGTGCCTTCTACCTCTCCCCACCCTCCATTCCTATGCCCCTTCTTGCAGGGGGCGCCCTTGTCCTGAACCCGACCGACTTCTCCCTGAGGGCTATGGGCAGGTCACCTGCCGAAGACCACCACTGCCCTGGATGTAATGGACCATCATGATTCCTGCCTTCCGGAACGTAGCCTTCAACACTTCAAGCCGTCCGTATCTGGGCCGTGCGTCGAACCAGCCCACGGTCGAACGGCCACTTGTCGAAGGACGATATATTTTGGAACAGAACTATGCTATCTGAAACCTAACCTCAAATGCGGTTAACGTAAAATTACGTAATTTAACGATGTCTGGAAGTCAGATTCGATCCGCGGCCTGGTGGTGCACGACAGGTGGTGGTCAGGGCCGGAAGAGGACAAAGCTTAGTGGTGCACGGCTGATTGCTGTAGGTCCGGAGAGATCCAAGGCGTTCGATTCAGGGCTTATTGGTGAACAAAATTGGTGGTGCACGGTTGCGCTTCCCTAGGGGCTCACTTCCCAACCCACGACCCAGACTACCCTCATACTCGTCACGCCTTCATCCTTCATTCGGCCTCATCAACCAGTACGGGTGATTCACGGAAACTTCCTGATTTGAAAGCTAAATAAACAAGAGAACTTGTTGAAATATGATCACAATATGAATTTTATTGAAAATTACATTGCCTGAATTTTTGTATCATATAGTTTTAAAGACGACATGGGACAAATGACGACCGCCATAGTCAATGCATTCAGTAAGTTGATTTTTTAACTCCGTTCAGCTCGTTGAAGCATATTGCCCAGTATGTCGGCGATGGCTTAGCGTATGTTAATTGTTCTTCAAATGAAGGATGTGTATGAGTCGCTTGAAAAAATCCCCATAAAAAAATTACACGGATCCAAATCGGGGGGATCGGGCCAGCCATAGAAGGTTACCCTAAAGGAGATGAAGCGCTCTGCAAAATTTTGTTTCAGAAGATCGATTGAACATCACGCTGTGGGGGCCGTGGCTCCATTCTATTTGAACCAGACATCCCTGGCATTGATTCATGTGTTCACAAACGTAACAATCGATTTCCGATCAGGAACCCGACATAAAGGACGAATACGGAACCGATTACGGTGTTCGATAATAGAACGGCCATTGGAAAAGTACACTTTGACAGCACACACATGCTGCTCACTTGTCCAATACATATTGACAACTGACTAAACAAAACAAAAATACTTCATAACCTTGCCTTTCATATGGAATACTCCCTGCCCCTCTCTCATCCGACACAGCCAAATGCCTCAATGCGGTAACGGACGACGCATCTGCCATCGACTGATTAACCTCCCGTAAAGCCACTGAACTATTCAAAAGAATCAACCTGTCGCCCATTATACCACCTGACCCACGTGGAAAAAGGACTATTTTCGTGAGACAACGATACAGGAACGTTGGTAGCCACACTGTCGACGAACTGAAACAAATTCTACCCTCATCACAGCAATCATGGCTTCAAATCCAAGAAATTGTCAAAAAAATACTACACCCACGTACTGAAAATCATCACTACTGATACAACAATAGTACAAAGAGTACTCACCAACGATTTCTATCTGTCAATACGAAAATCACCCCCTTCCCACAGTGCGAGCAGGAAAGATATATGTAGGTACCCACTTCCTCATCTGCTATATTAGTGCTACTAAATGGAAGATTACCCGCGTAGTTCCGCTAGCACCGAGTAACAACTGGTATAACGAGCTTCGGAAAAGAGAATACGGACTGAAGGGCAACCTTATACAGTATAGTTCAACCATACACAACTACAAACCGCATACCAACGCCTCCAAACAACAACATGGCAAGAACTCATCACAGCACTCGAGCTCCAGCAAGACCCTAAGCAGTTCTGGAAGTCAGTTAAACGGATGCTTGACTCAAATACGAAACAGTCAGCCCCGTACCTCAAACACTAAAACACTCAACTATATAGTCCCCAAGAGAAAGAACCCGTATTTAGACAACACTGGTAAAACATTAACTGAAACCGACAACGATGACTTCAGCACTGTAAACATCAATAACATTGAAGAACACATGAACAACATCAGACAACATAGAACACCATACCACACAGGTGACCTCTCTATATTACACCGCCTAAATTTCCCACTCATCACCACTGCCGAACTCAAACAATCACTTCGCTCCTTCAAACAAAAAGCCCATGGTCCCGCTGGAATAACCCTCCAGCAACTCATGTATCTCCCTCGCAGCATGATTAAATTTTAGTGTGTCTCCGCCGTTTACTTTCCAGATTCACTCAAACACGCGATAATGATATTCATACCAAACCAAATACATCGCATCGCGAAGCCAAGAACAACAGACCAATCTCCCTCCTAGACATTCACGGCAAGTTACTAGACAAAATACTCAACAAGAGATCGACTCTACAGCCACCACAAGACACACAACATACTAACCCGAGACAACACGGATTTAGGAAATACAGAAGCATACATACCGCAGACGTTTATAAAGCTCTCGACCGCGTTTGGCACACCGGCTTTGCCTACAAAATCTCCCAACTCAACCGGCTCCCCTCAATCACGAGAACAATGATTGATTTCATCACAAGCAGAACAGCATCTATTATTATAATGACATACCTGGGTCCTCCTTTTGCATCGCAAACAATCTCTCACCCACATTTATACAGCTATACCTTTGCAGCTATACCTATACCTTACAGCATTGCCTTTGCAGACATCACTCAAATCACAGCAGGAAGATACACACATCAATACACAGCCCATTAAACAAAACACGCTATACAACAAATCAAAGCATTCAAACTGAAGTGGAAAATAGAGACCAACACAACTAAATTCAAATAATCCCTATCATCCGTGAGAGCACATCCGACATCTTCATCGAAGATCAGCATTTTCCTTACGCAGTCAAAAATAAAGGCACCGTTCAGGGTCTACAAATGACGACTCACGGCTACAACGCCCAAATCACTTCAAGTCAGAACATAGCCCGAAACAACCTACAAAAACTTCACAGATTCGTCAGCCGTCCTTCCCGCCTAAAATAAAGATTATATAAGGCCTTTGTCTGGTCATCACTAATCTACCATACCGCAACACACTCTATCCCGGTCGGCGATATTCAAACTCCACGAGTACAAAACCGAGCTGTCAGGTTCATAACCAACACCCACTGTTACGATTTCATCACCTCCCAATCCCTCCACGAATGATATAATGTACCCACGACCAACATAGCCCTTCACAAACACGTCCGCAAGATCTGGCGCAAAATGCAAGTATATGAACCCAAACTTTTCAACCAACTCACATTTCCGCCTGACATCAGTTATAGCCAGCATCAAGGGATCAAGAGTTCCAAGATTGGGTACCCATCTACAAATAGTCACACATCAAAATAACCCTCATCCACCACACAACGGGCCATCTGCGCCTGGGCGCTCTTTCCTGAGCGTCTTGGGGCCAGGGTCAGAACAACTGCACGCGTACTCAAACCACTTTCACGACGAGACATGTTGTGCTCGAACGGCAGTTAAAACGATAGCGTCCGGGTGCGGCTGTCCCGACTGACAACGACTACTGACTGACGTAACAGACCGAGAGCGACGCACAACATGACAGGACCCACCCTTATACGTACACGTAACTATTAACCCCAAATATTCCAACCGAATAAACAAGTAATTTGCACAGGAGTCCTGCACCTGGTCGTCAGCTATTAAATGAACGAGCCCAGGCGCGGTTGTTCCGATTACGACGGCGGACTGACAACCCCACCGAGATTGGCTTACGGTGAAGACGAGACTGAAGATCCAGCGTAACCCCAACAACTGACTCCCTAAACCTGCCTGTTGAGTCTCAAGCGACTCACCCACCACATTTATCATCGTCAGCATTATCACCCACCTCTTCTATTATATGATATATATGATAAATGTCAAAAAAGCGTTAAAATGGAATAAACGTATGTATATAGAGAGTAAATTCATATTTATTTTTTATATGCGTTCAAAATACTATAAATAAAGAACTATCACCTTCCCATTTCTCCTCCGGTAAATCATCCGAATCCCTGACGGGTTCTCCTCCCTCCCTCCACAACCAAACCTCATACACCTACAACGAACCTAACTATGCGCCATGCGATGCATATTTGGTCTCTTATTGCCTCTTCCATTTCTCCTTCGTCTCTCTGGCCCCTCTGTACCACCTCTTAATTACACCTCCGTACCAACGATGCAATGATGACACCAACCATGGCTGGAGAAGACGCGAGGAAGCCCTCCCCGTGCAGGTCAATGCAGGCAGGGTATATTGTGTAGCTGAAGGTAATGGGTTTATCCAGCTTGATTAAAGCGATGTCGTTGAGAGGGCGGAAGCCAGGCTTATAGTCTGGATGAAGCACCAATTTGTTCACCTGAGAATAAAATTTCTCGCTAGTACTATTCATTAATGTCACGGCACGATTGCGTGAGAATGTATACCTGCATCGACAGTGACCAAAACTCGCATTAAATTATTATAAACTTATCACATTCACTACTTTCTGCTGCTGAATAATTTTTTTATCTTCTTGAATAAACGCGTCAAAACACCACAAAAACTGGAATTAACAGTTAGTACCAACAAAAGAATCAATCGACTTACATATCGGTCATTGTTTGACGGGAGTTGCACCCTAAGGTCGCGAATATCCATGGTCTCATTTTGGCTCTCTTGTGATCTGCACATCGTACCGTTTTAATGAACACTTTAATGCCGTATACAACAACGAATATTTATCAGTGAGGTGAATGAGCGTTGGCTGCAGACGCAGAAAATTCATAATGCATTTTGACGGGACTTTAGGATCAATTAGGATAATTTAATTATAGGATGAAATAAGTGTATGATAACTACAGGAAGACCTACTATATAAGCAGGAGAGGGTATCATCACCATCAGCGCGTGCTGCTATTTGAATAAAGTTAGTGCAAACGGGTTACTGATAAATACCTAAAAATACAAGTTCAACAATTTAAAAAAATACAAATTAAAAATACAAATCGTTTTAGTTGAACAGTTTCTGCTCAAAAATTTGTTTCGTCCGATATTCATCGGATAACAGTTTATCTAACTTAAATACTGATGTAAATTATTGAATCTCATATCAATCGACCGAAGGATGACATGAGCAGAGCATTGTTTGCCGCAGTTAGCAGCCATTGTCAGCAGTTTCACCTGACCACGCAGTGCACCGCAGCAAGCAGCCATTGTTAACCGTTTCACCTGACCACGCAGTGCGCCCGGCGCCGCAGCAAGCAGCCATTGTTAGCAGTTTCACCTGACCACGCAGTGCACCGCAGCAAGCAGCCATTGTTAGCTGTTTCACCTGACCACGCAGTGCGCCGCAGTAAGTAACCATGACGCAGAGATGAGAGTGGCGCTGCACTCGTATCGCTGCTTCTTCTTGAGCCCCATCAGCCAAGGGAAGAGGTTTTGCGGGTGGTGGAATTCATGCCAATGCAGCGTGCCGCCCATGCTGCGATATCGAGGCTTCTGCCCACAAACTGAGCAGTGCGAACTTTTATAAATTGCTCCCATGATCACAAAAGAACAGCCTGCAAAGCAATAGCCCTCACGAAACAACACAAAATATATAAATTCAACCACCTACTACCCAACATAAAATACACCCAATACCTCACATCTGTTACATCGTCTCTCATTTTCCCCCCTCCCCCCACGCTCCTTTGCCAAAATAAATACCCCTATAACAGAAAGCCCATAACAATGCACTAAGATTCCTCCTAAACTCGTATTTATCAGACTTTATATCTTTACATACACTACGATAACATCACGACATACATAAACACAGTCCTCCACCACCAGCTTGCAAGACATGGTCCACCATTAAAACACACAGCACTAAGTTCTTCAATAAACTCGCATTTAAGCCAGACGCCACCGCTAGGATATATACGTCATTTAAAAGCTCCAAAGCACTTGCACTGTTCCCTCTCTGCCACCCATGTACACGGAACCATTAACACCACGTATCCTAACTACCTACAAATCTGCGCTTGGTCCTTAGTTGAATAGTTGCGCCCAGGTGCAGTGGTCCGAAATACTACCGACTCACCGAGAGTGACTCACAACAAAGACGTGACAAAAGACCAACAGCAACCGACAGCTCCTATCACCACCTACTCTTTGACTGTCGAGTGACTCACCACCTTCATCATCATCATTTTCATTATCATCACTACTTTCCCCATCATTTCATCTTTACCATCAAAACTACACTGTCTACACAATAATATAACAAATACAAAAAATAAAAATATAATTATGCAACGGAATACAGCAAATAATTCTATTTCAAATTTATGTTCGTTTATGTATAAATTGAAATTATTAAATAAATTAGTGAAACAAAAATCTCCCTTCACTCTCCCCATTTAAACCGTCTTTAAGCTTGACAGGTTACCCTTCCCCACTATACAACCCTATATACCTACAGGATAACAAATTACGCATCGTACGCCTATCCTCATCACCTACTATCATTTATATTAATTCTTACCTTTTTCTGGCAACTCTATAACACCCCTTGTTCCTTTCTATATTTTTTTGATGGTCCGCAAAAACATCCAGAATCCTGCATCAGGATGGTTAAGCTAATGTTACGCAATTAACTTTGGGGCTTGTCTTGTTGGTAACAATCGTCACGACCAGGCTAGCATTACGTAGTTAACTTTGATGCTACAAAGTCGTACTCTAGATCTAGCTACAAACGATATCACGTATAAAAAAATAATAAATATCACCTTTTATATCATCGCATTAAAACAATTGCATACCCAGGAGTCAATCAGAGGGCACAACTGCACATACGTTTACACTCCCCTAAGTGTTGTGTGGTACACACAGCTGATTAATGCGACTTTGCAAGTGAACGAAGACCTTTTCACTACCATCCTTGGTGACAAATACTCGAACAGTGAAGAAATTAGGTACACACGAGCTGAAAGACAAGGAAAGACGTACCTGGGGAGTTCAAGTGATGAGACTGGCAGACGAGCCTCGTGCGCTCATGAGTTGAGTTGGCTGCAGATTCCCCATACAACCCCCACAGTCCATCGCTGTGGCACCTGAAGCCACAGGCTGGTAAATAAAACCAACACCTTACGGCAGTCAACGAGCCACAACTCGTACTTTTGGCTGTTCTTCTTCAAGTGGACAGCGAGAAAATTAATTTAAAATCATAATGGAAGAGATTCTAAGCAATCATAGGGGATCTCGTAGATAATTCTGGTCGATAGTTTCTACGACTCGGGTTCTGGGTTTGCAGTTCACAGTACCGCACTAAGAGAACGAATCTGAGCGTGGCTAAATATATAAGAAATATTTGCCAGCCAGCACGACTGTAATGTCTGACCTGAGGGCGAGAGTGGCACTGCTCCAACAGTCAGCCTGCACGACTGTAATGTCTGACCTGAGAGCGAGAGTGGCAGCCAGCACGACTGTAATGTCTGACCTGAGAGCGAGAGTGGCACTGCTCCAACAGTCAGCCAGCACGACTGTAAGCACAGGAACTTTTTTGTTCCGGCCGCACCTGCCAATAGGATCCAACGACAGTAAAATTTCAAGAAATTTTTGGTTTAATTAAGATTAGGACACGCATAGGGTCCTCCAAAACTTTTACTGTGGCTGTGAGTTAGCCTAGGTTGTGCCATGCATACATAGTTCTCAGTGTGGTTCGGATCCATTGTAAAAATGCCACAAGATTGGTCTACACCAGCATAATTTTTTTGCAGAAGCGAATTATGACGTTAATGAAAAAATGTGAGAATATTTCTGATATAAGAAAATAAATTTAACATGTGTTTCATCCTGTTTGAATTTTAGGTCTCATTCATTCAACATGATGAATGTATTTTAGTGACGCTTGATATTTCCCCCACCTGATGTTTACGATACCTTCAGAAAAGCATTTCAAGATGATATGGAGCCATGAATAATCATCTATGAACATAATAGTGCTATTCTATTGAAGTGACCATCCATCAGTTCGACACAAAATGAGCTACTCTCACATTAGTTCCATTGCCAAAATTTCGATTTTAAAATTGTTTGTATGCATACACATTTGTGGAGTAACTCGCGCTTTCGCTCACTGCAAGTAGGAAATAAAAATTCTAACTGAAATACAGATGAAGCTGTTCAACGGCCAACTGTAGAGGGAAATAATTGAACTTTTCTAAAAAATCGCACGAATAATGAACTTTGAAAATTTGTACAATAGTTAGATTGTTTTACATTTATTTTAATCTAGTTAAAATCTTCAAGAGAACTCCGCTAATTCAACTGCATCAGCCAAGATGCGTATTCAACGAAGCGTCGAATCTTAAGACAACTTCAAAATACAAGTTAGAAATTCCCTCCTTACTCTAGAAATTCCCTCCTTACTCTCGCACTTACTCTGAAGTTCTTTCGAAGATCCCAAAGTCCCTGAAATACAGAAAAATAGACGTTAAGTACGGAAAATCAAAATTATTCACATTCAATCAGGCTCAAATTCTGGTCAAACAAAACACTCTACGGCATTACAAATAAATGCATGGAATTGGCACCATTCGTATATGGTGCTATTATTGTCCCGCATCATAATGTTTTATTGCACTTGGTACTTTTATAAATCGACCACTCCTGGCTCGTTTATATGTGAGCCAGAATGGATAACAGCAACTCACATCTGCAAACCCTGGCTGCCGCAGCTCAAAACGCTCAGGCTCACGCCGCTCGCTTTCTCTACGGAGCACAGAGGCTCCTGGATCCCTGATGTTGGTGAAACACTATCATTACTCGAATATAATGTGCATTTTTCAGCCAATTGTGCGTAAAAATACTTTATGTAATATTTGGAGAGATTAATTAGGCATATGGGTACGTACACAGTGAAATCAGGTTGCCAGCGTGCTGGTTACCTGCTCAGGCTGGCGCTTGAAACCATAGAATACAGAAGCCTATTCGTACAGGTTTTCACTGTGAACACTTACTTTATTATCCTATGTTCACTCTTGTGGCAGGTTGGAGCAGGTTGCCCGCGCAGGCAAACCTGCTTTCACTGTGTGCGTACCCTAAGAATTTCATTTTACAACTAACGCACGGCCCGCGTTATCAATCAGCTCCTCCACAGCCATTATCTCTCACAACGCCAACACAGAAGAACTCACTCAACAGTTGGCACGTGGTCGTCACGTTATGGAGTTCATGGCAGGGCAGACAGACGTGCTCCATGCCGGTCACGTTGCAGGGGCAGAAGGGGGCGTCGCAGCGGGACGCTGGGGCCGCTCCTGGAGTAAGAACAACAGGTCCGATTGGCACCGTCGGGGGCTGTTCTGTTCCAGCAGTGTAATGTCCTGGAGTGTTGTGAGCATTTGTTGGGATTTCAATTGAATTTACTTCAGGATCGGGAGCGACACTAGAGTTCGGGACAGTTGACGGATTGGCAGTTGGGTCGGCGGTCCCACAAGTTTGTGGGTCTTCGTCGCTCTTGTCAAAGCAGTCGACTACGCCATTGCAGTGCTCCTCCTGCAATCATCAGAAACTCGTTTACTTCTATCGAGTAATTAGAATGTGTCATCTTTCCAAACGAGAAATATCGAAGAATGATCATTAACACAACCTATTGACTCCATGTTAAACTTGAGATATATTATCTAGATACATTCTCTTCATGTGCGGTCTACTATCTAATAATTGATTATCGTGGTCACCTTCTTGTAACACTGGGTGTGGTCGGCGCAATAGTTGAGGACGCGGGATGGGCACACGACACGACCAGGCCGCCGCATCTTAGTACAAGTTCGCGGAGATTCGTCGCTGCCATCGGAACAGTCGATCTGAGCGTCGGAGTAAACATTAAGAGGCTTGGTAAGTCAGGGATCTCGCGACGTGATGCGTGACGATCGATTCAGCAAGCGTCGCTATAAATTCATGAAAATAATGTTGACGCATTTATAGCGACCAGCCACAATGGAGCCATTTGCCCAATTATATTATTTCTAGTATGTGTTTATTTGTCAGAGTTTGTAGGATGAAAGCATAAAGATAGGGGAAAAATATTTACCTGCTGTTCGGGCGAGTATTCTCGATACTTAACGTGTCAGGAAATTGCCGAGGCACACAATTTTCAAAGTCATAATTTTTCAAAGACACAAAAAATGGAGGGGAGATTTGATTGAAATATTGCAAAGGTATAATGTGGAAAGTGAACGCCTTTAATTTGGTCATTGAACAAGTTAAAATTGAACGATTTAGATTTTTCGATATTTGAAAAAGCTGTTTAATGCGAGTTTCCTGTCAAATTGAAATTTGAACTGATCTTTCTTCAACTATTTTGAACAGCGGGATTCTGAAATTGCTTGGATAATTGTCTTTGGAGTAAAGCCGGGTAAACTTGAAGGTACGAGTATATATGACATGCTCCACTTTTTGTTATGATTGAGATTCAACTATTGGAGCGTCCATTCTTCCCAGTGCGCATTAAATAATCATGCGATGCGCAGGTATGTACAGAACTGACCTTACCGTTGCAGCGAGCTACCACGGAGACACACTGGCCGCTCGTACAGCGGAATTGGTTGCCTGAGCACCTGAAGGCGGCAGATGAATAGCGGCGGTCAAAAAGTGCAGGTTGATCCTATATAAACTGAACGGAAATGAACGGTCAATAACCATTCACTAATCTCAAAAATTCTTAGCATTTCCATGCAAAAAAAATGTACATGGTCGAACCACAAAGGGCTTTTTAAATTAGTTGTTAATTATAAATTATGTCTTCCAAATGCAATTTAAAATTTGAGCGCCTCATATGTAGAAATTTATGCTCCCGTAACCGAACGAAAAAAGATTAAGTTATATCCATAAGCCCACAATTCCGTAGACAATGCGTAGCAGTATAGCATAACTCACTTCACAATTCAATTATCATGCTCCTCAATAAACACGGGATGAAATGCGCTGTTCAGGATACCCAATAATAGTTGCGTTCAATATTTTCTTCTCGTTTTACTATTATGTGAAATTTTACACGCTAATGCATTCAAATTTTTGGCTGTTTGAGGGAACGAACAGTGGCATTTAGCAACAAAATTTTGATCTTGCAACTGAGCGAACTGCACAATAAAAAAACTGATAGTCTTGCAAGTCTCCCATAGAAAAACTTTTATCTCTCGAATCCTGTTCGCCATATTCACTGCTTCTCATCGGCAGTCAAGTACCAGGTGAACCATCCAAATATTTGAACTACAATTATAAAGTTAATGACTTTGCCAAACATGTGGTGAAGTGAGGTGAACAAATTTTAACAAATCATCACGTTACTGAGCTGAAGCTTATAGATAATTTTATGGAACATATACAATTCACGTAGGAGGTACCAAGGACTCTAACTAACAGAACAATGTATGCAAATAATCAATGCAAAATAATATAAATAAATAAATAATCAATAATAAAAATAAGAAAAGAAAATAAATAATCAATGCAAATAATCAATGGCTGCAAATAATCAATGGTAGAATACCGATAATTATGAGAGTAACTGACCGTCTCGCCCGGCAGGCCGTTGGGTCCTCGTCGGACCCGTCGCTACAGTTGCTGACGCCGTCGCAGCGCAGCGCGTTGGTAATACAGTGTCCGTCGTCACAGCGCCAGGACGAGCCGCCAGTCCCTACGCCGCCCAACAGCAGGGGCGGAAGGTCGCCCAAGTCTAGCGCCGTCCTGCACAGACGCCGATGAGGTGTATGAGGACGGCGTCACGATACACGGATGAGGTGTATGAGGACGGCGACACGATACACGGATGAGGTGTATGAGGACGGCGCACGATACACGGATGAGGTGTATGAGGACGGCGTCACGATACACGGATGAGGTGTATGAGGACGGCGACACGATACACGGATGAGGTGTATGAGGACGGCGTCACGATACACGGATGAGGTGTATGAGGACGGCGTCACGATACACGGATGAGGTGTATGAGGACTGTGTCATGATACACGGATGAGGTGTATGAGGTCATCTTAGTGTGTCGTTCCATTGACAACACACAGATGAGGTGAATAATGCCATGATAGTGTGTCAAAGCACTACCTACTGATGGATGAGGTGTATGATGGATGAGGTTATAAGTTTATAACTGAAAAAATGTGTCGGTGCACTAAAGGTCCCTCTGACTTTGCTCTGGAAAACATCATTGAGAGAAGGAAATGTTCCAAGGGTCCCTCTGACTTTGCTCTGGAAAACATCATTGAGAGAAGGAAATGTTCCAAGTGACCTAAAATTAGGGTCACTTTGAACATTAGGGTCACTTGGCAACTGGAAAGAGTCCAACGAGCCTTCACTTCCAGGATCAGAGGGATGGAGAAGTTTAACTACTGGGAGAGGTTACAGCGACTGGGTCTGTACTCACTGCAGAGGAGACGGGAGAGGTATGTCATTCTGTACACATGGAAAATGATAACCGGAATGGTGCCAAACTTCGAGAGCGAGACCTTCAGGATTAAGACATATCGCAACGAGAGAAGGGGGAGACTGTGCAAGATCCCCCCACTACGTAACAGATCCGTAGTCAGATTTCAATCCCTGCGGGAAGGATCACCTTCCGTGGCAGGGCCAATGCTGTTCAACGCCCTACCAAGGGATCTAAGAGATGGGAGTTCACCCTGGAGACCTTCAAGAGACAACTGGACGTGTTGCTGAGCACAATCCCAGATCTACCTCCCCTGCAACACTACCAGCGGCGAGAAGCAAGCAACAGCATCGTGCATCAGGTGGCCCAAATGAGGGCGGATGAATGATAATCAGAGGCGGTGTTCCATCGTGGCCTGGGACTGCTACGTCCCAAACAAATACTAAGGAATAATAAGGAATGAGGTCATGCTAGTGTGTCATAGCACTGCCAACATATGGATGAGGTGTATGAGGTCATGCTAGTGTGTCAACGCACTGGAATCGGGCCTTAGATCGCTCAATCACAGTGTGGTCAGGGCTGGCGATGGTGCCCAGGCCGTATTGGTGGTCGGTCAAATCCTTCTCCAATTGGAGGAAAAGATGATGCTCGAGAACATCGAGGTGTGTCATTCCTGTAACCAACCAGGCATCTGACGTCAAATCAACGTTTAGTTGAGCGTTATTTCTTCGAATCAACGTCAATTAAACGTTGTTTCAACGACATTTTATAAATGTTGTGATTAAGTGTTCTCTATGAGAATACCCACATTTACCAGTCAAACATCGCAAAACAAATCACAAATTTTGGAGAGCCTCTCTTGCTTAATTTTAAATGTTTTCTCTGTTCCCTATGTCGAAGTCTCTAGGGCTTGTCAGACGTGCGGGGAACAGATTTATTCGGATGGCGTATGAAAGAAAAGTGTACGTGCTCCACAAAACGCCTTTTGTGGACCAGACGCCCATTTCATGAAAACTGAATTCTATTCAGATTCCTATTCCTGATATTCAATCCAGCGCGCTGCAGCTCCCTCGGGTAATCCTTGAGAAACCTTGTAAAACTTTACATTTTCTCTTTACAGCAGTATTTGTTGATTCATTTAGCTCCAATAACGTTATTGTTATGATATCGGAGTATTTTTTTATACACCCGATACACCGTATGTATAATACGTATTGTATAATGAATTCGTAAGTAATAAACTTTTCAAACAATACGACTCACCGGCAGTTGTGTCTGTCACACATGTTTTCATCGGAGCCATCTTGGCAGTCGAGATTGCCATCACACACCCTGTGCTGCGGCAGACACAGAGTCCCACACTGTAGCCCTGAGCAGGAGGCTGGGCCGGAGCGCGCTGCCATGAGGTTGCTGTTCGTCAACAGACTGCACCAAGAATCGTCCGGCGTACATATGGCCGCGGCTGTACAAACGGTGTAATGGTTACACTAATGGCCTCGCAATTGATGCGGTTGTTAACTTTGATGTGTCTGGGATTCTTAACTAAATACCCTATGATTACTAATGGATTTATTATTTTATTATATTATTAATATTGTTATTAAATTTTATAAAATATTATATTAATATTATATTATTATATTATTAATATTATTATTATTATATTAGTTTACAATCATCCTACTGCAACTGCTCCTACAGGGTTATTAGCTTTATGATGAAACCCACAGAACGTGCTCAAACATTTCGGTTTAATTCACATTGCAAACTACAGCCGTCCATAATAATTGAAATTTGCATTATGTTTGATAATGATTACTATTGCTAAAAGTCACAGTTAATTCCGAATGAAGTCACCCTTCAGAGATATAATAATATGGATTTTACTGATAAATGCGTACCGTTACTATTGGTGATGACCAGCAGGAGTAAGAAAAGTGACAGAAAATCTTGGTATTTCCACAAGACTGCGACGGTGGCGACGCGACGCTGCGCTGCTGTAGCGTAAGAGGTTCATCAGAGAAGTCATTCTGGACTTAATTAGAGTGAGTGTAATTCTTATTCGCATACAAATAATAATATTACAGTTATTAAATAAAGAACAATCCTTTCACTGTCAATGTTTTATGATGGCGCAAACATGCACAGTAAAAAATTATCCTCAGAAGATTTAAATTGTCATTTAGTTTACATATATAACTTTAACGCAATATCCAATCAAAGATTCTAGGCAATTTCCCTTGAATTTTTCGGTTCTTATTCGCTAACTAATTCACTAAATAATAATTAGGTAATGTAAAATGAATAGATGAGGTAGATAATTAGCTGAAATTTTATTTTATAATCGCTGAATTAGCTGCAAAATATGATCAACACACAAACATGAAATTAATATGGCTGCAAACTATCAAGTGCAGCGGACATTAGGCTGAGCACCCGACAAGATTAGAGCTTCCGGCGCACATGCACGTGTGTCAAAATTGTGCACCGGTTGCAGTGAACCTCATGACCACTTCATATCATGCGAGGCTTCAAGCTCAAGGTAAATTAGAACTTATTGCGTATTATTAATTAGAACTTATTTATTTTTATTAGAAATTATTATTTCTATTATTATTATTAATAATTATTATTTTATTATTAAAATATTATTCATATTAATAAGAACTTATTGTGTATTAGTACTCATTGCGATGCATATATGGTGCTACTGCCTCCCTGTGAGCAATGGGTAATATTTTGATCAGTTTTCTGCTGGACCTCATGATAATCGTTAGAAGTCTCAGTTGCTCAGAATAATTTCATTAACTCTACTATACATAATTGATCTTCAATATACATAATTGATCTCGAACGAAGCATTTCTACTCAAATGTAAATGAGAATTATGAAACATTATTTCAATTAACCGATTATATAGAGCGTTTCCTTATGGCTTGTCTAAAATCTACCGTACCGCAAGGACGTAGGCCTACTTGAAAACCTTATAAATGCAAGGCGTCTAATGCGAAAGGTTTCAAACTCAAAATATTACAGTCTGTAATATTCAGTCTTCATTTTCATTCTATTGTCGCGCCACTTCGTTGCGTATCACAAATAATTAATTGGATGCTTTACTGACCGAATTTTTTTCCTCTCTGCCTGTTGTGAGCCCTCGTGATTTTTCTTACCAATGACTCTCCCTATTAGTTTCTCGAACCAACTTATTGAAAATAAATTCTACTCGACGTTTTCTCTCTAAATTCGTACTGGTTGACCAAACTTGTCTTATCCTTTCAAAGTTCTTAACATATTTTTTATTTTACTTTACTACAACGGATTTAGTGCTGAAAATAGCAGCCAGCAAAAGAACTTGTTTGTCAAGTCACTGTTCCGGGAAGCTCTGCGAGACGGCTAAGCGTATCCACCTCAACAATATTCGGTCTGTTCACAGGATGCAAGCCATAACACTGTTCAACATAACATAACACTTTCATCTTAAACAGTATCTAATTGGATGACAAATTCCCTTGTTATAGAATAAAAGCGTTAGCGCTGAAGAAATAGGCCTATGACCTGTTGTCGATTCTTGTACTAAACGTGATTTGTTCAAAGGAGTTCCTTTTTTATGATGATTTCAGAGTTCTCATTCAACACAGAAACAATAATATAATAAGTACTATAAAATAATTGCACCACATGAAGCAGCAAAGCTTCTTCATTAATTTATATAGGAAGCATTGAAAATGTAACACTAGTGAAGTGCATGATTAAAAGTAAATATCAAGGAGTTAAATTCGCCCTGTCGCGTGGGCTGGCAAGAGAACATTTAAAAAATATAACTCAGTACTCACTGCAGTGAGAGACAGAGAGCGCATTTTCTCGTCGATGAAAACTTGAGGTCACGGACGGACGGACAGACGGACAGACAGACAGACAGACAGACAGACGGACGGACGGACAGACGGACATGGCGAGCACAATAGTGCATTTTTTCATAAATGAGAAAATGCACTAAAAACACTCTTACTATTCAGCTCTTATATATTTCAGTGACAAAGAAAAGTATCTGGTCGAACTTTGGTAGTCCAAAAAAATATATTTATCTGAATAACAAAATGAAAATTGTTCGCCGCAGCTTAATTTCGTCCATATTTAGACGTTAATAATTTAAGAAATTAATTTTAACAAGATTCAAGTTTACCTGAGGCTATAATCCTCTTGAACCCCTCATTGAAATCCATCGCGCAACACTTTGGATGCCGCTGCATAGACACCAACATCCTACCGAGCTGAGCGACAGATAAGCACTGCATGGGATGGTAGTCGAGACCTCAAGCAAGCAATGAAGCACATGCACTGGGAGTAGAGCAGTGAGGTCATCTGATCTTCATATAAATCAGTATTTAAGAAGGGATATATTAAATCCTAAAGCATTATGGAGATTATAAAGTTAAACCGAAGTCCGTAAAACTTCCTTGAGCTTTGCAATTATATAAATTTACATGTAGGATTTTCGTTTCTTTGAAATGGAGACTGGGCTATCGCTGGTGCCTTGCTTCTAGGAAACTAACCGCAAGTCTCGTTATCACGAATCCCGCCTCCTGAACCCGTTCATAATTAAACAACTTGATTATTAATGTCACTAGATTGATTCAATCGCATATTCATTCTAAATATTTAAAAGCGAGGAAAAGTTCACAAAAATTCACCGTATCTGTTTTGAAAATGTTTCGGAGTCAAGCTCTATCGTCAGTTTGAAAAAAATCTCAAACACAACTGCAATCAGACGTTAATACAGTCGAATTTCAAAAGAAAAACTACAGAAGTTAAACCAAAATTTACTAACAAAAGCACAGAGTAATAAAGTACTAACATATCTATTCACAATTTCTAGGTGATAGAAATTCTAGGCCCATTCGACTCGAATCGAAAAGAACAAAAGCTAAAAATACTGGTACTTACGCCGGTGAAAGTAAATTTTCTTAAAACATAAGTCTGAAAACGGCCATAAGATTTAGTATTATTGCAGTCGAGAGAGGACAAACTATTTTTAGACTTGAGTGCTATGCTAAATTCATTAGAATTGTGTTGCAAGTTTGGGTAATTGAATAAAAGTTTAACATGAGAGGGATGCTGGAAATCGTATCTCATCATCAAGGTATCTCTAATGAATGTCATCGACGTATCTGTTATAGAACATTGGCTTAAAATCAGTAGGACAATAATTGGTCAGCCAAGAAACCTCGTGGACACATAAAAAAATATTTGCATAGGTTGGGCCGAGGGGAAGACCTATGCCCAAACCGTCAAACTGTCTGTAAAACTTGCCACCAAATATGAAAAACTAGTTTAAACTTATAATAATTAAAGAATAAATTTTAAAAAATAACGGTTGAGACCAATAATAGAGTCGTGAATATCTTTCAACAAAGAACTGAGGTAGATTTTAATTGTTTCATATAAAGAGATAAATTAGTGAACAAATTTTCCATGTCAAATAAGGCCATAGTTAAATCCTGAACGTCGGGAAAATCCATCAAGCGTCCCATTAATTAACGAAAAAGAATCCACTCCAAATATTACAGCATCTCATGACTACACCGTTAAAAATAATGTGTCAAATGCACGTTGTAACCTGGCACTATATTTTGGATATTTGTCTGAATTAATAGCCTTCCTTTATATAAAGTGTCCAACTGCAAGCACACATACACACCCAATCTTTGACAAAAATATATCTAATGATTTATATATATCAAATCAAGCCTGACAATCATCAAATCAACGTTTTAATCTATACATGCATCTCAAAAATTTTTTTTGAGGGAAATGTCTATTTTAAATTGCATATTAATTCCAAAACGGGAGATAAATGGGCCATCGACAAATCATTGCGGATCATTAAGGGTGTCCCCGCCTTCATCAAAGTTTTATAATCATTAGCGGGATTCGATGGTTTAACTGGGGGATGGAACTATAGGGATAATGGGATTCGGTCTAACGGCATTTGTGAACACTGGATATAAAGTAGATTTTTCACTCATGGCTTGCAAATGATGATTTTTATTTTACTTCTTAGAGGGCAACCGCAGGCTGACCGAGAAACAAAAGGCGAGTGACCATTTTTCTGAACTGAATATGTTATCTTATGACGCGCAAACCTCATCCTTGACGTCGTCAAATTGCTTGAAAACAATTGTGTTTACATGCGTTATTCACTCTACAATGAGTTCGAAATAGTAAAATTAAATTAACAGATCCTTAGTATTCAGTGAGGTCTGAATTACCAGATTCCAATTCTTTATGAATTGGAGGTTTCTGTTGACAATTATACCTTTGCAAAATTCATGCAATACTTAGTAACGAGAGTGAAGGTACGTAGATCTTGAACGATGACTTTTAAGACAATTTCTTTCTGGTTTCCAAATAGTTCATGAGAGTAAAAGGAAGTTCGGCATCGCAAAAGAAAGAAAAATACATGCCCATTCAATGATTTTACATATTTGATATACGTTATTGATGCTTGATGTACCTGCATATCTCAGCCAGCTGTTGATGCTTGATGTACCTGCATATCTCAGCCAGCTGTTGATGCTTGATGAACCTGCTTACCTCAGCCAGCTGTTGATGCTTGATGAACCTGCTTATCTCAGCCAGCTGTTAGCAACTAAAATATAATCGAACATTTTGGGAGGAAGGGTACCAGCTTAGCCTGAGACAGAGCTGTCCATAACTAATCGATTATAAGATCAAATGCGAAGATATTTTTTTGCAATTTAGAATTCTATAGCATAATATACAAATTAAAGTCTGCATCATTAAACAGATATTTTTCAAACTTACTCCAATGAAACGGCTTCCGTCGTAGCCCCAACCGATGTTTGCGAACGAATTGCTGAAATCAGAGGCTACTGAAGAAATTTTTATTTCTCGTATGATTTCATATTACTAACATTCACTAAAAGTCTTGTTTATTTTAAGCGTCGACGCGTGAAACTAATCAACTCGCCCCTCCATATTTTTATTCTATTTTAGTGTTTTTACGTTGATACTTGGGATTAAACCTCATGACAGCTCTCGAGAGAGGTACATCATGAACTTTATTAAGGGGAGAATTACTTCAAGTTTGGCTGAAATAAACTCTAGTTATTGCATTTGCAGTCCCGTTTGTCTGATCCTGTGATTGCTTACAAGCCACATATCATTTCCTTGCGCTGAATGTGATCTTTCAAAAATCAACGAGTAATAAGCATCATTAACGATCAACATCAGCAACACTCAACATCAGCAACACTCAACATCAGCAACACTCAACATCAGCAACACACAACATCAGCAACACTCAACATCAGCAACACTCAACATCAGCAACACTCAACATCAGCAACACTCAACATCAGCAACACTCAACATCAGCAACATTTTCCATCAGCAACACTCAACATCAATAGTCAGTTGTGTCAGTTAGGTTCACAAGTATACAAGGTATTATACAAATGCACGAGAAAATTATCTCAATTGTTCAATTGGTGAATATGCTACTGCCGTTGAATAACTTTTAACTTATATATGCATTCATCATTTTTATTCCGTAGTTTTAGTTCATAGTATTTTTTTAGAAGTATTTCTCAAAATCATAGTATTCATAGTATTTCAAAGTATTTTCTCATAGTAAATCATAGTATAGTATTTTCTCATAGTAGTATTTTCTCAAAAAGTGCCCACTGTTTTAAATCTTAGATATCACAATCAGTCTGAAAACATCGCATCAATCAACGTTCAGGAAATTTTTTCTACCATTCAACAAATTGTGCAAAAATTTTCTTTATTTTAACATTTAAATAAAATAGGTTTTTCAATACGCTAGAAAACTATTTGAAAACGTGTGAATTGTCCTAAATAAAATAAAAATAACAGGAGTTAGACTTCTTACTCTTATGATGAATTTGTGTGCGATTGTTTGAATCTGTACGCAGTGATGCTTCAGAGGAATAAGTTCGACCACAAGCAGCAATGCCACAAATTATTCCTGTAAAAATACCTTCCTGCTCACACGTCTCGTAGTTCTCACTCATGTAAATCATTCAGTCAGCGTGCAGCCGTGGTCGTGTGAGGTGTGCGACGCTCTCCTGTCCCTTCACTTCCGCGTCCGAGCCCAGGCTCTCAACAGGCTTGGATACCGTATAGATTTTTGTGCATAGACTGCTAATAAAATACGCCTTAACGTACAATTAAGTTATGGTTATTGATGAGTTATAGAAGTGACCCCACGTCGACTTTATGTACCGGTGCAATTAACGTGAGGTGTTCATGCTCGGTTGAGCCATTAGCCAATACCGCATGCAAGTGTAATGAGCAACAACGGGTTGCCTGACCGCTGTTCTTATGACGCGCTGTCAGGTGCTGCACTAAATTTACGTGTTATATCACTGCAAAACGAACACAAATGACTGTAAGATAATATATATCGTGTTCAATCTTTAACTTATTATTTATAATTTAGCAGTCGATTGCTGACCAGTTAATAAATATTTTTTAAAGTGTCGGCAATCTACATGCCAGCCACAACTTTTTTTGCATGAATTTCATTTTTAGACAAAAAATTATTTTTCATTTTCGCTACCTGTTCAAGAATAAATTTGTCGTTAATTAGAGGAACAGCATTATTTTTTCTGTTCTCCTAAATTGTATCCTGAATCGTTTCCGTTCTATTCATATTTCTACTTGTCACGATGACAAGGCAGCTTCACTGTTCAGTAAAAATAATAAAATTATTATTCAGGCAGCTTCATTCCCGTAAAATTCTTCAATCGTCTCGCTTTTTTCAACAAGAAATAAGTGGATTCCCGATTGAAGAAAATTCTGGATTTCCGATGAAGCCCGTAATTTTGAACAATAATTGCGATGTTTGTGCTTCCTTGTGCACGCTAAATCTATTATATGAGGCTAGGTCTATTAAATAAGGCTAGGTCTATTATATGAAGCTAGGCCTATTCGTTTCTGTGAAGTAAAATCCATTTCTCTGGCTGGCAGCCCCGAGTATGAAGTGGAAAAGAGTTTAAGCACTAACTCGTATTATTAACTTATCCATTCCGTGCCTGTAACGTCTGAAACGTTGGCGAAAAAATGACTCAATACAGGTAACTTAATAGTCTAATTACATAAAATATATTTAGCATATACTTCCAGGCAATGAAATATACATCTACTCGAAAATCGTGGAATTATTAAAAAAATTTGAAATTGAAAACTTGCCGTGTAACAATCCACACTTATTCGAAATAACTACATTATA